GCCTTTAACTGATAATAATACATACTTCATAAGGCTGCTGTGAATTTTGAATTTTTATTTATCTATACATTTTTATTTGAAAGGCAGAGATATATAGATACATACATACATACCTACATCAGTTCATTTATCTTCCATCTGCTGGTTCACTCCCCAAATGTACAAACAGCCAGAGTTGGGTCAGGATGGGAAGCCAGGAATCTGGAACTCAATCCAGGTCTCCCATGTGGGTGGCAATCCAAGTACTTGAGCCATTAACTGCTGCCTCTCAGGATATGTACTATCAAGAATCTAGAATTGGAAGTGGATCCAGGACTTGAATGCAGGCACTTCCACATGGGATGCATATTAACCACTGCGCCAAATGCCTGCTCTGCAGCTATGAATTTTTAATTAATTTAAAATTTTTTTATTTTATCTGAAACACAGAAAGTCAAAGAAAAAGACATCAGGGTGGGGGGATGATGGTGTTGTAGTGTAGCAGGTAAATCTACTGCCTACAACGCTGGCATCCCATATGGGTGCTGGTTCATGTCCAGGCTGCTCCACTTCTGATCCAGCTCCCTACTAATAGCCTGGGAAAAGCAGAGGAGGATGGTCAAAGTGCTTGGACCCCTGCCACCCATGTGGGAGAACAGATGAAGCTCCTGGCTTCCGGCTTTCGACTGGCCCAGCGCTGGACATTCTGGCCATCTAGGAAGTGAACCAGTGGATGGATGATCTCTCCCTCTCTGACTCTCTCCCTCTCTCTCTATAACTCTTTCACAATAAAAAAATTTTTTTTTAAAAAAAGAAAGAAAAGAAAGATCTTCCATCTACTGGCTCATTCTCCAAAAGATGTCAAAAGCCAGAGCTAAGCCAGGCCAAAACCAGGAGCCAGCAGCCAGGGACTCAACCTGGGTCTCTCACATATGTGGCAGGGACCCAAGGACTTGAGTCAACACTTGCTTCCTTCCAGAGTATGCACTAACAGGAATCTGGAATCAGAAACAGAGCCGGGACTTGAACCTAGGTACTCTGATATGGATGCAAGGATTTCAAATGGCATTTAAAAAAAATTATTTATTTGAGAGGCAGAGTTACAGACAAAGAGAGGGAGAGATAGAGAGAGAAAGAGAGATTTCCATCCGCTGGTTCACTTCCCAGATGGCCATAATGGCCGGAGCTGGACAGATCTGAAGCAGGAGCCAAGGGCTTCTTGCAAGTCTCCCATGTGGGTGCAGGGGCCCAAGCACTTGGTCTATCTTCTGCTACTTTCCCAGGCCATTAGCAAGGAGCTGGATTGGTGGTGCAGCAGCTGGGACTTGAACTGGTGCCCATACGGGATGCTGGTGTTGTAGGAAGAGGCTTAACCTACTACACCATGGTGCCGACCCCATTAATGCCATCTTAACATTTGTGACAAATGCCCACTACTGTGAATTTTAAGTAAGAGAATGTATATAAGTGTGCTGCAGATGCTGTGTAGAGAAAAAAATTCACATGGCCTTTTGTGGAATCAGCAGGAAATTTGCCTGCCTTTAGTAGCTATGCCTACTATAGGTGTAAAAGTGAAGAATGATGGCAAGATTAAAAACTAGCCTCAACTTCTGGTCTTATCAAATCCCCCTTCTTTGTTTTACAGTTTAAAAAAACTGAGGTTCCACAAAGAAAAGTGATTTGTCCAAGTTCACATAGCAAGTTAGCTTATGACTAGAATTCCTGTTATCTAAGGACTCCCAGGTTTGACTCAATTTAAGGAAAACAAAACCACAACAAATTTTAGCATGCGTAAAGAAGCATCCCAATACACTGAGCATCGCATGACCTACTGTACTTGCCTTGCTATACTGTCAACATCAGCTGTGTGCACTCAGTGTGACTTTCCCATAGATGGTGTGAGAACTGGGAGAGGAGCAGACAGCCCAGGGTTCAGAGGAAAGCCCACAGAGGGATCATCTCAGTAATGTGGCGGGGGCGGCACAGACACAGGAAAGAAAGGCAAAAAGCATCTCAGCAGGCAGCCGCCTGAGGCAGATCTGAGCAGACAGGTCAGCGAGTGCACAGTGGCGCGTGCACAGCTGCATCTGTAAGATAAGCATCCATCAAATCTTCCCTCTTTTTTTGGTGACAGACATAAAATGGTAAAGCTGGGTAGCTCACTGTCTCTGAGACACACAATACAGCTGAAGACCCAGGAACCATGTGGGAAGGCTTCTCTAGTCCCAGGCTGGGGGAAAGAAAGAAATGGCTCTTCCAAGGGTCGTTGTGAAAAAACAAGTAACACTCTCAGTCTGCAGAAATCAGCACCTAAGATAGAAGCCAGCTTTAGCCAGGAAAGGGCAGGGAGAGAAGACACAGCCCTGAAACCAGCGAGACGAGATCTACTCAGAAGAAAGAAGGGGACGCAAAGAGACATGGATTGGCCCCTGCTTCTCAGTAATTTTGTAACCTTAGACAGTTCACATCCTGGGCCTCAATTTCCTCATCTATGAAATGAGTTAATAAAATGGCTTCCTGGCAAAAACTGTTGTGAGAATCAAAACCAGTATACGGGAGAGTGCTTTATAAACCCCTTTAAGTTTTGTGTTTTTGTTTCTGTGTGTGTGTGTCCCTGTGCTACATGTTTCTTTCTAGCAAGTCATCCTAACAGGTGGAAGTAGTTTGGGGTACCAAATAAAAAAAACTACGTCCAATTTCTCCCTCTATCATTTATTAGTTGTGAGACCTTGGCAAGAAATTTTATATGACTAAGACAGTCTCCTCGCTCATAAACCAGGCACTGGGATTAAAGGCAGTGTGGTGATGCATTTTGTACAGTGATCTATGGAACAAAGCTGGTGCTAAGTTCCTTATCAGTGGAGATAAGGAAAGAGCAACTCTCTCCCTGCTGTGTCCCTCCTCCCTAAAGCCAAACTCCAATTCTTTAAATTCAGTTTTTCTGCCCCTCCATCACCACTAGCCCAACCCAGCCCACCTCCTCACGTTTTTTCTTACTCTTAGAGCCACAGAGCCATTATCTCAATAGCTACCATTTACTGAGAACCTACTAAACGTCAAGCATTCTATTGGGTATTTTTGATGCACTCTATCCCAAAGATAAAAAACACTTAATAAATGTTCATTTTCTGCCTTCTCTGGATTAGAAAGATAGTCATAGATGTGACTGACAGAACAGAGGTAGACCTGAAGGAGAACATCAGTGACGTCTCTTGTACAGCTCTTCACAGTTTACAAAGCTCTTCTCCTGCATACTATCTGATTTAATTCTCCCAACAGTTCTTAGAGCTCAGTGAAGGAACTGAGGCAGGAGCACCACCACAGCTCAACACTTCATTCAATCAACATTCACCGGGCACCTACTGTGCACCAGGCCCTTTGCTAAACACCAGCGAGTTGGAGAGGAACCCTAATGAGTTTGAGCTTAGAGGAAAAATTTACTTGACCATTCTCTGCAGGTTACTGATGCCTCTTTCAGTATCATAATTTTTTGGCAACTGAATTAATTTTATTCTCTTCTAACTGCAGACCCAAAGTATACAACTGAACATTGCTCTTTTTCTTACGAGACATAAAAATCCAAAGATATTCACTACCAAAAAATCTGTTAGTAGGATGTAAAAATAATTCTCTTTGCTATGGAAGGCACAAACTTCACTTAGTGACACAGTATCATAATTCTCTATTTCTGTTTTGTGGACTGGAGATCATCTTAGATTTTTTCCTCTTCCCATCCTGTTTCCTTTGACAGGAACACTCCTTCCTCCACTGCTCATCAAATCCTTCATGCTCAGGAAGGCTCCCCTAACCTGCCTGTCTTCCCCCAAATGCCTCTATTCTGGCTCTCACAGCACCAGCACTTCCCACTACCATAGACGGAGCCCTCCCGGCTTCCATTGTCTTCCTGTTTTATAGGCACGGAACAGGTGGGCAGCCACCTGTGCCCACGCACACACAAGCACTGCCGCTACCGACCTTCTCCCAGAAGCTGAGGTGAGCGCCTTTCTCCCTCCGACTCCACACCTGTACCGGGTCCCAGACGCTGCTGCACTGCCCTCCCCTCCCCTCCCCAGGTGCCTTCCACGCTTGGACCCCAGAACAGGACCGGCCTGCGGACGAAATTTTCTGTCCGGGATTCTCTTGTGAGTGACCCCGGGTGGCAGTACCGCAGCATCCATGGCCCGCGCCCGCTCCTTCGTCTCCTGAGGAGCCCAGACGCAGGTGGCTCCTGGGCGCCCGATCTTTCCCTCCTCTCACGCCACAACTCACACCTGGTCTCCTCCCCAACCTGACCAGCGCCCCACCCCCCGGAACTCCGTAAGTTCTCTCACGGTTCCTCCACTCCCACCGGTCGCCTGACCAGAGCCGCGGCGCCCCCTGCCCACACCTAGGGCCACTGCCCCCCGCCCGCTTCCTCTGCAGTCGGGGAGGACCCCGCCTGCCAGCCCCCCATTTTTCCCCAGCCCACCCTCGACCCAGCCGGGCTCCCGCCCCGCACCTTTCTCCCCTCCATCCCCCGCAGCTCACCCCCTCCTGTCCCGAGCAGACACCCGCTCCCGGCCAGCGCCCCTCCCTCTCCGCGCCTCACTCACGCCCCATCACCTCAAAACCAGCCCCGCGGGCCCGCTCCGCAGCCCTAGCCCTGCACGCCCGCGTCCCGCGGACCTCCGCCCGCAGCACCTGCTCGCCGGCTCCCGGGGCCCGGGACCCCAGCCCCTCACTGCCATTCTCCGCCCGCGGCTCGCGGCTCCTGCGCCCGCAACGCGCGGGCCCCCGGCGCCCCTACTGCCTTCGAGGAGCCGCCCATCCTGTTCCCCGGCCCCGCCTGCCTCCCGCTGCCCTCAGCGCTCCCTCCTGAGGCGGGTGCCTCCCTCTCCGCCGCGGAGCCCCCTCCTAAGAGACCTCCCCCAGCCCCAGCTCGTCCGCGTCCCCTCCTCTGCCCCGCGCTACCCCTCAGCGCCCCGGGCCGGGAGCGGTCCCCGGCCCTCTGCGGGCGACGTGCAGGGGCCCGCACCCCTTACCTCGGTCTCCGAATGCGGGGTGAAGGGCTCTCGCTCCGCGACGGGGCGGCTGGAGCGCTCGGGGGAATTCGGCTGGACCTGCCTAGGGTGCGGTGTCGGAAACGTCTGGTCCCCACCTCACAGATTGAGGGCTGAGGCTTCGGCTCCCTCCGACTGCGTCCACGCCCCGCCCATGGGGCGGAGTCAGCGTACGCCCCGCCCCCGGTCCACCGCTCTTGACAGGTGTAGGGAACCAAGGTATTTTGGGGGCTTCCACTCCCCCGTTCAGGAGACTTCCTGGGTGATGACCATGGTTTATTAATTCCCACGGGTCGGTTCATAGACAGCTATACTAGGGTACTCAGAGGGCCTTGATGGTAATGGTCCGTTCTGTCGCTCTATTCTCACAAAAGCCTGGGGAGGGAGACAGAATCCCGACAGCAGACTCCAGGGGAGACTAAGCTGGAGACTCAGGTGTTGTCCTGTACCCTGTGCATTCCTTCACGACCCCCATCCTATCAGCCTGCTAAGAACCCGCCTTAATACATTCCTGCTCTTCCTCTCCTTGCCTTTACCCTGGCCCACACCTTATCACTTCTTGCCAGCACTAGTACAATCACTTCCTTTTTAAAAAGATAGATTTATTTATTTTAAAGTCAGAATCACGAGGGGGGGAGAGATAGAAAGAGAGAGAGAGCTTCCATCTGCTAGCTCACTCCCCATATGGCCACAAGGGCCGAGGCTGTTCCAGGCCAAAGCCAGGAATTCACCCGTGTCTCCCACATGGGTGCAGGGCCCCAAGGACTTGGACAACCCTCTGCTTTCCCAGATGCATTAGCAGGGAGCTGGATTGGAAGTGGAGGAGCCAGGTCTCAACCAGTGCCCATGTACACTATGCCACAG